ATGGATGGATTTCAGTCCTAATCAATGCTCATTGATGATGATCGTCACATACTTTTTTGTCACATGAAATTCATCTCTATATTCTCCCTTGGCATCTTTCATAGATGATGTACTTTCCATACCATTTGAATTGTATTAGGAAGATTCTGAAGGTCACCTGGCAGGATGAGGTACCAGACACTGAGATCCTTTTTCAAGTTGAACTGCCAAGTTTTCAAACTCTATTGCAGAGAGCACAATTCCGATGGGCTGGCCACATTGTTCAAATGCCAAATGTACGTTTGCCTAAAAGATTATTTTATGGAGAACTCACACAAGACAAGCACTCATACAGAAGTCAAAAGAAGGGATACAAGGACACCTTCAAGTTCTCTCTGAGGAACTCTGGTATCAATTGTGAGACATGGGAGACACTAGCGCAAGACCGCCCAGCATGGCATGCCCACATAAAAGATGATGCTGTGCTCTATGAGCAAATCAGAATTGAAGAAGCTCAAAAAAGAAAATCCTTCTAGATTTCATGGGTACTAATGCTTCACTCATCCATCATCTCTTCCTCTTGCTATATGACGAGTCCCCCTTCAATTTTCCAGATACTCCTTAAACTATTTTTTGCACTTGGCTCATTGCTGAAAACATCTTATAGACTACTTGTACATACCAAGTGTCCTTCCATATCCCTTTTTGGCACCTGCAACTTTGGGGATGGGAGTAGGAGCTGTGACGTTCTAAGATTTATAACCTTTCTTCTGTCCTAGATGCATCTTAGTGTGACAGAAGGGAATATTTAATAATCCTCTTTTGTAGCAGTATTACACTTTAAAAGATGTCTATACTCTGAAGTATCTCCCTCGCATTCCTATTCCTACAGGTATCTCCCTTGTGTTCCCATTCCTTCAACCTCACATAAAAGTTCACCCAGAAGTCAAGAACACACCCTGCCGCTGTTCCTCTTCTCTTCAAATTTCAAAGCCTGTGGAACTCTGCCTCAGGTCAGGACATTTTTGCCAGGGCAAGAAATTGAGATATTCACTGACAGCACTTTTATTCCTCTGAAAAGAAAACAGTAATGGTGAGGACTGCTGTGGATGGGCAGAGCCTTGCGACGAGATGACGAGAGAGACTGCTGAGAGGAGAGTGAGAGCAGCACTATACAGTTGCATGCAGCTCCTTTTTCTAGGTGAGAAAGAAGGCAGAATCTGCACCTGGAGAACTCTGGTTTAGGCGGGTAATGCAGATCCAACCCAGGTCTGGCTGTAGGGAGATGGTTCTCTGAGGGCTGCCAGTGGCTAATGATGGTCCAGGATCCCAAGCAATGAAATTGAGAAGACATGTGGACTCCCATTGTGTTTAATAGGACATCTTTGTAGTCCTGGAGAGGGTTGCTTGTGCTGACCTCCGTGGAGTGGGTAAGGTTGGACCCAAACCCCAAGTAGGAAGTAAGGTGCCCACCTGACTACCCAGCTCTTTGTGTTAAGTCATGAAGCTAGGCGCTGGTGTCCAAGAAGCCCCAGTACCATGTTTCGGAAGGTCAAATGTCAGCAGATTTGCAGAAGAGTTCTGGATGGGAGTAAGAAGGAGAGCTAGGTGGTGCAATGGATAGAGCACTGGGTCTGAAATCAGGAATATCTGAGTTCAAATCTGGCCTCAGGCACTTACTAGCTATGTAACCTTGAGGTCTTTTTGAGTTCTAGATCCCAAGATCCTAACTAGGTGACTAAGGGCAAGTCATTTGACTGAGCCTAAATATCCCCATCTGTAAGGGAATGATTAGACTGTATCTCACAAGATTATTTTTACGTGGATCAAATGAAACAGTATTTGTGAGAGTCCTCTGTAGCCACAAAGGAATACAAAAGTCAGCCACTATCAGCAGTATTGTAATGGACTATTTTAAACTGTATCTTGTTTGGTATCCCTGACCAGTCCTTCCCTCCCCACCCCCTTGAACCTTCTGGTCAGCATAGTAAGTTTATAAGTAGCCAGTGTAAAGTGGCAGTAATAGGAAGATTGCAAATGGAAACCTAGAGGTCACATGCAAACCATCCTAAACATTAAAGGAACGATTTACAAATTGCATTATTTATTAATCAAAAATTACATCCTAGTCACATGTGCTAAATCAGAGGAAGCCACTTAGGCTTTGCTGTCAGGGATTTAGGGTCCTACGATATGTAAATCTCAGGCAAGTTCCAGATACCTGGAGTGAGACCAGCAGAAGACCAAATGGTGCTGGTAACTCTGAGATAACATGGATATATTAACTTTAAAGTTTTACCAACAGCTTTGAGATGATTTGGATATGGTAATGAACTAACCCCAAGATAGCACAAAGAAGAGTTAGTCTGTTCCCCAAACAACCTTATGAAATGAGACCTCAAACTCTGACCCCACTGAGCACTCTCTCATCTCCTAAGGGTCCATGTTGCTCATGTGCTCTCAACTCTAATTGCAGTTACCTAAGTGACTCCATCCCCTCCCCATCTTCTTCCTCACACTGCCTGCCTTCCTTCACTACCCTATCACCCATCCCCATGCCATCTGCCTCTAGGCCCCCTTTTGCTTCTTGTTTCTATATTTTCTGTGCCCGTTTTCTTCTATATCTCCTATGAAATCAACTAATTATGGTTAAAATTCTCCTATATCTCCTATACCTTATTAAAATATGATTGCAGTCTTGCTTCCAGATGCTTTCCTAACTAGTATGCTAAGAACTAGGCATGTCTGCCTCATTTCATAATTTCATAAATCAATTATCAATTCATAGACATAGAAAATAATTAGACTAATGAAGGATTAAGTATTTTTAATAAAAGACAAATTAAGAGACAATTGGAAGAGTAACTTTTTTTTTCAGGAAGAATCTTATTTTCTATAGAAGAGGCCTAGTTAGGATACCATGGGTCCACTGAAGAGTTACTACTTTGTTATGAAACAAAAAGGTTTAGAAAAAAAAATCAAAACAATTTCAAAATGTCCAAAGTGATAATTCTAGAGAAAATGGCAAGTTCTATCTAATTATTGGCTCACTTATATTATAAAAAACTTCTTGTGTAGTACTAGCCATATTTTCTTCAACTCTTCATATTTTTAAAGGTTATATGCTTATAAGAACAACTTGGTAGAACAAAAGAGGACACAAATTGTGTGGTCTACTGAAGCTTGATAAAGTTTCTTGGAACAAGGACAGCATCTCTCTAATATTTTTCCCCAAAACCAACCAGTAAACCATAGAAGAACATACCTTTCCCAGCATAAATTATACTTCACATTCTTCCACTGTATTTTCTTCAAGTCAGCATTGATTTGTCAGATATATCAGTTGCATCCTAGAACCAAAGCTAGGCAATTTCTTTCAAGGAAATAATTCTATAGCAAAAGAGTAGCTGACTCATTGTTCACTATTCACCAAAGCTATATACTGACATTATTGAATGATGCATATAAAACCAAATATAGATAGAAAATAATATCTTAAACCTTTTGCCAGCTTATCTGGGTTTGATGTCCATTCCAATAAACCATTCCATTAACCCAGAGCTATATATACTAGTATTTTAGACAAGAATACAAGACACTTTATTTCTTCAGCAGCAAAACATCTTTCTTTGTATGTTCCTGGCGAAATGCCTTGTCTGTTCCAATAACCTTCCTATTATAAGGTTGTTAAAAAATATGACAGTACTAAAGCCACCAGTACTGTGGATGATGCCCACACAAACATCTCTTTCTATACCTCTTGCAATTAAATGTAATTATGGCCTTTAGACAACTCTGTAAGGAAGGGGAAAGGGGCCTTTTTGGAGCCCCTGTGTTTTTTTTAATTAGGGTTTTCTCAGACTTCATCATGTCCATGAAACACAAATAGCATCTAATAAAACTAACAGGAATTGTGCAGCTTATGTTTTCTAGGAAGGGTGAAACGTAAACACAGTAGGCCCCCCCTTTTCTTGCTACAAGCAATTTTTAGTTTCTGCAATTACTTGTAGGTGCAAAACTATACAGGCAATAACTCCCTTTATAGTTAGATAATTGCATGAAAAAATCAACTAATTATGATTAAAATTAGCCACCTTCTATCCAGTTAGAAGCCTCCAAGAGCAGATTTTATACATAATTAGCCAAAAAGAAGGGAAAAAATTACTTATATGTAGAGTTTTGTACATATGAAAATGGCAATTTCCAAAGATAGCAGAAATAACTTAAAGTGATTTCTATATAATTCAATATAATTCAATGTAATTCTGATATGCTAAAATCCTAAATGAGAGAGAAGATGAACTTCTAAATGCCACAAATTTTGTTGACATTCCAGTTTCTTGAATTCAGTGTCTTCCTCAGCAAGAGAAACAGAGAGATATTCCTGATATAGTCCGTCTTTTAAGGACCTCCACATCTAATAGACATCAAGAGTAGAAGTCATCTTTCCATTTTCCCATTAAAATGGAAAACAGCATGACAAAAATAAGAAATCTAGCAAAATATTTGTTTTCACAACAAAAACACTGTAAATGCATTAGATAGTTATTATGATTTGAATTCTTCATTGTAAACTATGATTTGAAAGCAAAAACAATCAAATTATTCTTGGTTAAAGTCTCAACCCATCACAGTGATTTTACTTTTCTAAAATAAAGTCAATATTAGAAATCATCATGAATTGCATTGTACTCCTGAAAGACTGAAATAAACACAACTAGACTGCATTTAGCAAAAATATAAATTATGTTCAGGGAACGTAGGATGGAGAGCTTTATGGGGATGAAACTCTGCAGAGATACATCATATTACTCATTTTGTAAATAGTTTTATATGGCACAAACAAATCTAATATATAAGTTCAAACTAAAAATATTTGAATCCAAAAGTTATTAGTCGAATAGAAAATGTTGGCTAGGAATCAGATCCCATAGAAACAGATAGATAAATGACACTGAGAGAGAAAGAATTTGTACTAGATTCATATTCATTGTATTTTTATTACAAATCAATCCGCTTACCATCTTGCTGACCAGGAACCGTCTGGGGACTCTGCATTCTTTCTTCAAGGTTAGAACTAAGGTCAGAGTTCACAGCCGACATGCGTGTGGAATCGCTCATATCAAACTCATCACTTTCTATAGAACTTTCATCCTACAAAATAAAAACATTATGGCATAAAACAAATTTCAGATAGTGCAGTACATTCAGATAACATCTCTCCTTTATAGATATGATCCCTTAAATTTTAATCAGTTAGTAAGCATTTAGTGAATTTTAATTCAATTCAACAAGCATTTAATAAACACAAGGTATCAGTGCGCTTGATAGAAAAAGATGAAAAATGGTGGTCCCCTGAATTCAAGCATCTCAACATATAATGGGAAGAGAGGACATAATACAAGCACATAAATAAAAAAAGTGTGATACAATCGACCAATCTATCAGTCAACTAACCCATTAGTATTTATATAACATAGAATGTGATAAGGACAAATAAGAAACATAAGTAAAGTATTATAAGAAATTTGAGAAGAGGCGACTTTTAGATTAGCTAATCAGGAAAGTGAATGGCAGTGTGGATGTAATAAGGTTTATGAATGTAATAAATATTACACTATAATTTACATAGAAACTCACTTGATATAGGGGATCTAGAATATAGATGAGCCAAAGATAAGTCTGAGGTTTTGATTTTGAGTGATTAGAATGATAGTAATTCTGCCAAGAGAAATTAGGATATTAAGAAGAAAAATAGTTTGGGATAGGTTGAAGTTTAGGTGGTCAGTTCACAATGCACCAATTCAACTAATTTTTATCCAGACAGAGATATCCAACAAATGTTTGGAAATATAGACTCGGAGCTCAGAAAAGAGATAGAGACTGGATGTATAGATGTGAGAGTTTGCATAGAGATTTACATATGGCATTATGAAAAAGCACTAGACTTTGCAATCAGAGGACTGAGTTTGAATCTTATCTCTCCTAATTACTACTTGTGTGACATTTGAGGCAGATTGAAAAAGTGTATAGAGTACCGAACTTGGTATCAAGCATATGTGAGTTCAAATCCAGCCATAGACACTTACTAGCTGCATGATCTTGGGTAAGTCACTTAACCTCTGCCTCCCTTGGGTTTCTCATCTGTAAAAAGGGATTTAGTAACAGCATCTACCTTCCATGGCAGTTGTGAGAACAAAATGAGATGTTTGTAAACTACCTCGCAACTCTTAAAATCCCATATAAATGGTAACCATTACCTAATTTTACAGTCCTCAGTTTTCTCATCTGTCAAATGAGATATTAGACTAAATGATCTCTATGGTCTCTTCCAATTCTAAATCCTATAACACCATACAACTTGATGAAATTGCCAGTGAAGAGATTACAGAGAAAAGAAAAAGTGATGATAGAGCCTGGAGCAGTGTCTCATACTCAAAGAAGAAGAGGAGCAAAAGAAGCAGAAAAAAGAGAGAAGAGAAGCCAAATAAGAATAGAGAAAGATGCTGACAAGATGAAAGGAAATGGAATCAAGAGCATAAGGATATAGGTTGGCCTTAGTAAGGAATTCAGTTTCATGATCTTTCTAGAATAGGCTGAAGGATAAAAGGATAGGTGAAGATGAAGATGGATTTTAAAAAAAAATTTATTAATTTATTTTGATTTATCAACAATCACTTCCATATGCTTTTGAGCTTAACATTTTTCTCCCCCTTCCTCCCCACCACCCTTCCCAAGATGGAGCACAATCTGATATAGGCTATATATACACATTCCTATTAAACATATTTTCACATTAGTGATGTTGTAAGTAAAAATTAGAACCAATAGGAGGAACCACCAGAAAGAGGAAACAAAACTCAACAGAAGAGAAAAAAAAATAGCAATTCAACTTCCATAGTTCTTTCTTTGGATGTGGATAGCATTTTCCATCATGAGACCTTTGGAGATGTCTTAGACCCTTGTATTGCTGGGAAGAGTTAAGTTCATCAGTATTAGTCATTGCACAACGTGGCTGTTATTGTGTACAACGTTCTCTTGGTTCTGCTCACTTCACTCAGCATCAGACCATATAAGTCTTTCCAGGTTTTTCTGAAGTCAGCCTGCTCATCATTTCTTACAGCACAAGATTATTCCATTATATTCATAAACCACAACTTGTTCAGTCATTCCCCAATTGATGGGCATCCTCTCAATTTCCAATTCTTTGCCACCTCAAAAAGAGCTGCTATGAATATTTTTGTACATGTGGGTCCTTTTCCCATTTGTATGACCTCTTTAGGATACAGCCTTATAAGTGCTATTGCTAGGTCAAAGGGTACACACATTTTTATAGCCCTTTGGGCATAGTTCCAAATTGCTCTCCAAAATGGTTGGATCATTTCACAACTCCACCATCAATGCATTAGTGTTCCAATTTTCCCACATAAAGATGGATTTTTTTTAAACTCTAGATAGATGAGAGGCATGAGGCAAAGCTGATAATTTTGACATAGCTTCAATAATTAGTAAAAATAGCAGCCACATGTCATCTCTTGGGAAGAGGGGAATTGGTAGCTCAAGGAAGGAGATGCTAAATGGTCACTTCCAAATTATTATAGAGAATCAATCAGAGATTCATAGGATTGCTATGTATTTGGTGAGTTCCAATGAGATATGACAACATAAATTTGTAGCAGACCTAATTCATCAGCAAGATTTTGTGACTTCCTCCAACATTGCTTCATTTCTTAGAGAGTCTCCCAGTGTATCCTGAGCTACCTTTAGTTGTCCTGATGAATATCTGGCCACTGGACCCAGATGGCTCTGGAGGAGAAAGTGAGGCTGGTGACCTTGCACAGCCCTCCCTCACTCAAATCAAAGTCAATTGAAAGTCATGTCATCATCTCCCTGATGTCATGGTCCTCTTCAATAACAAAGGACAAACACAACAATACAATTTCTTAGAAACAGGAGAGGAGATGAATGGTGGAATATGACTCTGTGGATTAGCAATATGTGAATAAAAAAATAAAAAGGGGAAAGCTTACTAGAACATATGTTTTATTAGACAGTATTTCAAAAGTATCTAGCATGAATGGTAAAATACAATTTCTCTTTTCAAGAATTTTTCAGTCAATGAATTCTCAATCAATATAACTACATGTAAATTTTTTTTTTTAATAAGAGAGGCAGCTTGGCATAGTATATAGAGAATAAGCCTCAGAGTCAGGAAAATCTGGATTCAAGTCCTGACTCTGACACATATTGCTATGTGGCCTTAGGTAAAGCATTAATTTCTCAATGTCCTAGGCAGCTCTCTGAGACTGAATGCTGCAGAGAAATTGTTGATCTTCATTGGTCAAAATGGAAAAAAATGTTTTGCAACTATAATCAGGTGTTTAGAGGAAGAGACAGTTTTGGAAAACATCAGTGTTCTTATAAATATTATTTATAAGAATTTACTTATCATCATTTATTTATAAGAAAAAGCATTCCAAAGGAAGAAATGCTTAAGTTAAAACATAAAGCAAAAGGTTTGTATTTTGGTTGACAAAAAGGTGGAGGCTTTTTCACACATTAGGAGTGACTCAGGGAAAAGCTCAGAGAAGGAAGAGAGAAGATGCAACGAGTTACCCTTAGCCATCAAAGAGGTTATAAGCTGGGACTGAGTGGGAGAGGAGATAGAGAATGGACCTACCCAATAATCTTAAAGGCCCAGGTTAGCAGTCTGTATTTATTTATAGGTAAAATGTTTTGTAGCAAAATCCACCCTTCTTAACCTTGTAAATTATAGAACTCTCCTAGTAATGTATTGAAATGTAAATGAAGGGCTATCTTGAGGTTTCTCTGTTAAATTCTAAATGTAAGTCATAGTAGGTGCTATACACATATATATACATATATATAATTAATATATATAATATATTATATATTATATATACATATATAATTAATATATATAATATATTCTATATTATATATATATATTTATTAGTGGAATGGAATGTTATTCTACAAAAGTCCTACTCTGATGGCCAATCATGGTTGGTGTGGGATGATCTAGTCTTTGAGATTATGCTGGCAGAACACAGGTGTGACAGATTTTATGAAGTCAGGTATGAGACAGACAAGTTAAGCTAAGTTTGGAAAGGTTCATCACCAAAAGCCAGCTACTACATGATCATTTATTTTGACTACCAAAAATAATGATTCAGCTCCTAAGGCATAGAGAAGCTACACTTGATATCCACAGAAAGGTACAACAATGATATTATAGCTCTTGAAGAATTAGAAACCACCTGGGAATTCCCTTCAAACTAGAAATTTGTCATGTGAATTCACAAATTTGAGTATTAATATTGCAAACGTGGATCTGAATGTGGTGATGAGGTAGAGCTGGGGGACTGGGATTATTACTATGAGAGAGTTTAATATTATAATCCTCATTTTACAGAAGAGGAAACTGAGCTTCAGAGAGGTTAAATAACAAGATTACAGAATTGTAGATTTAAATTTGGAAGAGACCTTAGAGGCCATCCAATATAGCTCCCTCATTTTACAGATAAGGAAACTGAGGACCAAAGAGGTTATTCACTTTGCCCATGCCAAATGGCTACTAAGTATTGAAACCAAAATATGAACCCAGATCTCTTGATTCCAACCTTCATGTTCATTTCTGTATACTACACTGCCTCACTATAAATTAAAGAAAATAAACAAATAGAAAATTGAAATTAACCTTAAAATAAATTAACATGTGTTTTTATTGTATTTGCATATGGCATGTATGATAGTTTTCTCATGAAACCTTAGCAAGCAGACTCCTAAAAGTCAGAATATTTTGTGAAAATATGTACAGAGTCCAATATATTGGGACACTCAATAAATGCTAAGGAACAAAAATGGAAGTAACAATAGTTTATGTGGAAGTAGGCAATAGTTTATGGTGGTGCCAAAAATTAGGTACTATAGGAGAAATGGAATCTCCAGCAAAAATTGTTATACTGACTTCTCTACAATTTTTTGTTAAATTAAAAAAAAAACCTTTCTCATTCATCACCTCAAGTATCATAAAGTTGCAACTTTACTTTAAATATTTCCCACTCTGATTATTTATAATGATTATTCATTCACCTTTAATAATCTCATTCATTATTCTAAAATGTTAATTA